TACTTCTTGTTTTTATTCTTCTCCTTGTCCTTGTCCTTGTCCTCGTCCTTGTCCTGGTCCTTGTCCTTGTCCATGCCATTGTTTTTTTCCTTGTCCTTGTTCGTGTCCTTGTCCTTGTCCTTGTCCATGTCATTGTTTTTTTCCTTGACCTTGTTCGTGTCCTTGTCCTTGTCCTTGTCCTTGTCCATGTCATTGTCCTTTTCCTTGTCCTTGTTCTTGTCCTTGTCCATGTCCTTCTCCTTGTCTTTGTCTTTGTCCTACCTGTGTTTTATCTACCCCCGGATGAGCTACATCGAACCCTATCCGTTTCCAGAAGGCACTCGGGATCGTATAGGTAGAGTGTATCCAGCAGTAGGTGTTTAATACATCCTGGAACATTAATTTTTGTTGCAATGTCACAGAAAATAAGATCTACAGTAAAACTAATTTTAAATAAGAGTTAAGCATGTGTTTGATAACTCAAGGTGTGCGGCACTATTGCATGCCAATAAAATCAAAAGCTTGTATTAAAAAAGAATTACAAAGAAATTCTTTTTGTTAAAATTTAACTATCATAAAAGGAATTGAGTTTTTGCCACAAACTCTGATTTTACAATCCCCATATCTTTACAACCCAAATAATTTAAGTTTGAAATATCAAAGGTTTATACTATCAGGTTGCAAAGTTATAGGGATTAGAAAATTTTACTTTGCTAAAGTAAAATTATGAAAAAATATTCGGTTTGATGCCATTTATGTAAATGTAGATTTTACAACAAGTTCATTTGTATGCACGTCGTATGTACACTGTGTAGTGTGTACACTAAATGTTCTGTGTAAAAACAAGATTTGAGTAAATGTTTAGATTCCGCAGTTTCTAACTTCAACTCAACTCTAAGTTCAGTTTTCTCATTAAGGTTGGATTGAGGAGCTTTCATGCGGGATGTATTTACTCCCTCCTTTCACTCTATTCTATTCCTGGAGCTAACCAATACTTCTCTACTTCAGTTCTATACCTGGAGCTAACCAATACTCCTCTACATCAGTTCTATACCTGGAGCTAACCAATACTCCTCTACTCCAGTTCTATACCTGGAGATAACCAATACTACTCTACTCCAGTTCTATACCTGGAGCTAACCAATACTACTCTACTCCAGTCCTATACCTGGAACTAACCAATACTACTCTACTCCAGTTCTATACCTGGAGCTAACTAATACTACTCTACTCCAGTTCTATTCCTGGAGCTAACCAATTCTCCTCTACTCCAGTTCTATACCTGGAGCTAACCAATACTACTCTACTTCAGTCCTATACCTAGAGCTAAACAATACTTCTCTATTCTGGTCCTATACCTGGAGCTAGCTAATTCTCCTCTACTCCAGTCTTATACCTGGAGCTAACCAATACTACTCTACTTCAGTCCTATACCTGGAGCTAACCAATACAACTCTACTTCAGTCCTATACCTAGAGCTAACCAATACTACTCTACTCCAGTTCTATACCTGGAGCTAACCAATACTACTCTACTTCAGTCCTATACCTGGAGCTAACCAATACTACTCTACTTCAGTCCTGTACCTAACCTGAAATTTATTCCTGCTCTTAGAGCTAACCTATTTATCTTCAGTCAGTATAGCGAACCCTTATAAGTCATTTATTTTGTAAACAAGAATTCTAATTTCAAATCTAAATAGAATAAATGTTTGATGTTAAAGCAATTAGAATTGTTAGGAGGAATGAAAAGTATAGAATAAAGTGAATGAAAGATTAAAAGATGAATGAAAGATAAAAATAGGATTGAAAGAATAAAAGTAGGAAGGAAGGATGAAAAGAATAAGGAAAGATATAATGATGAATAAAAGACATAAAGATGAATTAAAGATATAAAGATATAAAGATAGATAAAAGACATAAAGATGAATAAAAGATAAAAAGAAAAAGATAAGATGTAATTATGAACGAAATATATAAAGAATAATGAATGATTTAAAGATGGATGAACGATATAAGGATGAATAAATGATTAAAGAGAAATGAGAAATATAAAGATGAATGAATGTATAAAGCATTATATCAGATCGAATTGTAAGTGAAACGCCAGAGAAGGATTTAAGTTTAGCAAACATTTCCAGATTTAGAATATATTTAGAATGAAATAATGCAAGTATACAAAACCAGAGATTGCATCGCTTTCAAGTTATTTCCGGGAAACCACGTTGAGCAAGTTTTAAAGATAATATAAAACATGCCTTAAACCTATATTGCATTCAAATCTTATCAACATAATCGGAAGTGGCCTTTATTTATGAAATGCCATAAGCGATTGCTGTATAATATATGAATTATGGTTCTTTAATGCATATTTAACATTCTTTAAATAGTTTCTGAGCTCAATTTAAAAGCAATGTATGAAATTTTGATTTAACCGTTTGTATAAATACACATTACACATCACTCATACAAAAAGAAATAGTATAAAAAGTTAAACATCGCGTTATTGACTTAACATATTTTAATATTCAAAATACAGATTCCATGACAAAAGTATAAAGTGCTAACCATCTATTCTATTATAACTAAATTAGAGTGTATCACTTAATTCTATATATTTTCATTTGATTTAAAAGTTTTTTTAACTTTTCATCTCGGTTCTGAGATTTGTTTGATCTTCAAAAGTTTGTGGCTTCAACCCTAAGTTTGAGTAAAATAATCCTGAGATGGATTATGGAATTAAGAGATTAATAGATTGATGAATTAGTTTAACGCCGAGATAATATTTGCTTTTCACGCTACATGGAACTTCTTCAATTCTAAATTTATCTCAACAAATCGAATTAGAAATAATATATCAAGATAGTGTATTTTTCTACCTACGCAAATCCGCTATACTCCACTTCTGACCTACGCCAAATCCGCTATACTACACATCCTTCCCACTAGCACGTGGTTTTACAGCTGCTACATTGACTTGTGGCCGCAGCGCCCGGCCACTAAGCATGTCTTAGCCGCGGTGCTCGGCCCCCTAGCCTTTCCTAGACGCAGCGCTCGGCCCATAAATTGCCTTAACCTAACCTAACCCTCAAATAATACAAAAATAAACAGCTGGCGTAGGTCCGACATTGCAGTTAGTCAGAAAGTTAGTAGGTCAGAATTTCAGTAGGGGAGATGTTGCGTATAGACGATTTAACATTATCGTTTTCAAATTAGGACTTTTTAAACAAAAAATTTCGCGGATTTACAGAAACGTCAAGGAGCTTTGGTTTTTCAGCGTTAAATTGGCGAAAGGGTGAAAAACATTAAAATTTATGAAATAAATATTTAAATCTAATGTTAAAAAAAATATTATTTGAAGCATGAAAGATAAAGTGGATGGAACTTTTTAAATAAAGCTATGTTGAAAGTTCCTGTAATTTGCTAATTTCAAGTTACCTTCTATTTAAAAAAAGAGGGGTATCCCGATTCAAAACGATATCTTTTGAACCTTCATCTGATCAATAGTTAGCTTGAAAAGTGTTTTATTTGTAGACATTCTAATTCATAATAGAAAATAGGAACTTTGTAAAGAAAAAAAACATGGATATTTAATTCATTCCTAGTCAGCAAAGGCTGTTAAAGGTAGCGTTGTGAAACTGACATGAAAAGTAACTTTAAATGACGAGGTACAGTCCCTGTAAATGTATTTACCTCTGGTATATCCTTTGTGTGTATACAGTCTATGGGATTACCAACATACTGCTTGGCGGAGACTATGAGAGAGAACGCAAACATACAGGTCGTCGTCACACTATAGTGAAGACGGAACACCCAGCTGTCAATGTGAACATGGGAGACGTGGAGCAGGCCACGAAGCTCCCGAAATATCTCCAACATTTTAACAATTTAGTCAAACCTAGTCTTTGTTTTCTTCAACAGAATTGTCTTTTTATGAGAAGACGCGGCATTGTTTGAAATTGATTCACAATCACTTTTTCTCATTCTTTAGTAATTCTTGGTAAGATCAACCTTCTCCTTCTCTCCTTCTGCACAGCCTCTGAATAAAGTATGGAACGAGTTTTAATAAAGTTTATTTTGTCAACAAAAAAGTGGAAACGAATATTGCTTTACTGTCGTTGTTTGAAAGAAATAAACTAAATTGCTTCTTCCCTAAAAATAAAACTTATATTAGTAAAAATTTTGATTTAAAAAAAAATACGATAAAAGCGAGAATTGGACATGGCCAAATTGTAAATTTGAATGACGTATGACCGCGGACCGAATTTAAGGAATTTGATCTAGATCGTTGAACTAGCTACTGCCGATTTAAATCCTGAATCACCGATTCAAAACCTTATGCACCTTTGACTTTTAATCGGTGATTTAAGATTTAAACCGGCGCGTTAGTTAGTTCAGCAAATTTTTTGCAAAATCTTTGCAACCTGAATGCTGAGTCCATTGGCGCCTGATCCAATCAGGGCTCAGTCATGTGTTTGTTGTTTGTTCTGAACCAATGAAATAGAATGGCGCTAACAGCTATCTTTCTATCTATCTCATTATCCAATCAGAGTTATGAATCCTTCAATCGGAGCTATAGTAAATGGAAATATTTACTTCTACTGAAACTATAGTGGTATACCTTAGATATTTCAGACTTAGACTTTTTGATCAGAAGAGAATTTATATTTTGAGAGATATCGAAGGTTTATGACCTTGGGCTGCAAAGATATAGGGATTAGAAAATCAGAGTTTGTTGCAAAGTCTCAATTCCTTTATAATAAAGTATTGAGTTTGGGATATCTCAACCCATGCAGTTTCATTTTCCCTGTTATTGTTTTATCAATATTATTATTTTATAATATTGAATCAAGCTTCTTGTTTCACTTTTATCCATAAACATGTAAATTCCATCAAACTTCTCTCTCTTCAATATATAGCGTTAAATATATATATATATATATATATTTATATATATAGATGTGTACAGCTGAAGATATTTACGCAACAGGAATTGAGTTTTTGCCACAAACTCAAATTTTCTAATCCATATATCTTTGCAACCTGATACTTAGATTATTTTGTCTATCAGTATTCATAGTTTGAAATATCAAAGGTCTACATCATCGGGTTGCAAGGATAAATGGATTAGAAAATCAGAGTTTGTGAAAAAAAAACTCAACCTTATTTGAACTTAAAATCAAGTTTTTCTTAAAACTCTTAAAATTGAAGAAGAAAAAGGTTGATTATGTTGAAGAATTAGAAAAATACGAAAGAGATGAATAAATTAATATCGAAAACCATCTAGCCAAAGTAAAACATTTTAAATGTTTTTACAAAAAATGGCGAATGAAATGAAAGACTATAAAGATATCCTTCTTAACTTCTGATGAATGAGAACTGTTCAATTTAAACTATTCCAAATCACTAGGTATCAGATAGCAGTGCAGATTGTGATCCGTCACATTAGTTCAAATTAGTCTATCCGCACAGAACAGCTCACAGTAGATTGAATATTAAACCAGGCGAAGATACAAGAAAAGTTATAATATCACGTACTAGAGGATCCGACATGTGGAAAGAGTTTCATTGAAGGAAAAAAAGTCATGGTACGACTTTGTGACCCCGTAACACCATTGGTTTTAATTCCCAGTATGAGAAAAAAAAATTTTATATGTTTTCAGTTTATTTTCTTTTTTGGTTAAAAATTATAAATGGAATTTTTTTAGTTTTTTTAATTACTTTTTATTTTAAAGGAGGTAGACATTATTGAAAACAAGTATAATATTAATCTAAAGTGAAATCTTCTTCAACTTTACGCGCAATTGGTTTTTCTGTTTGGTTCTGTGAAAACGTCTGAAGCAATCGGCCAAAATTTTTCGTGCGATAACTCACATGTGCCAAGGATACGTTATGGCCGGTAAAAATTTTAAAAACTTTGCTGAGAAGAAAAGTTTATTTTAATATTTTTGGTACCTCGATTAATGTAAACTGAAAATTCAAGAAATGTTTAGTTTTATGATTGAATTGAAAAGCAAAACTTAAAAGCTGAAATGTTTAACAGAATTCAATAGATAGAGTTTAGGACCACTGAATGACGCAATTTTCTAAATGCAAAAATAGATTTGATAACTTCTCCGTCTGTTTACAATAATCTTACAGAACTGGTTCTACTGTTTTCCATTAATCAATAATCTGCAGAATATAGATATTTTCATTCAACTTATTCGAGTTTGTTTCTGCCTTCAAGGTTTCTTAGCCTTTACCTTATTCAAGCTCGGAGCTCATTTAAACAAAAATAAAATAATAAAATCATTTTTTTTCAAAACAAATTAATTTATTGTTAAAATATTTGAGATTTATTGAAATAATTGTAATTTCTATTAATCCCCCAGATCAGGGATGAAAAAAAACGATTTGAGAGAAGAAAAAAATTTAAGCATTATACTTTAAAAATGGATGGTTCATTATGGAATTTTCTCCTTGTACTCAAAGTACCAATTCTAATTAGATAGCCCATGCGCTTATCTAAGTTTTGATCTGGTTGGGTTTAAATAGATCTCTCATCTTGGCAATTTTCTGTTTGAAGATTAGTTTAAGCCCCGTATCCTGAAGTTTCAAGGATTATCTTGCTTTTTTTAAATACAGGTTCAATCTTATCCAGTAGAAACTTTACCTTCATTCAAAGTTGCAGGATTTTTCAATTTTCAAAGAAATTGAGTCTTTGCCACAAACTCAAATTTTTTAATCCCTATATCTTTGAAACCTGATGGTGTAAACCTTTAATATTTCAAACTTATATTATTTTATCTGACAGAATTTATAGTTTGAAATGTCGAAATTTGATTGCAAAGATATAGGAATTAGAAAATCTGAGTTTGTGACAAAGAATCAAATCCTTTTAATCTTTTTTCTTTTTCTACCTCATCTTCTCTTTCTCTTCTGCTTCTTCTTCTTTTTCTTTCTTCTTTTCATTTCATCTCCTTGTTTTCTAAATGCGTTTTTTTCTTTTCTTTCTTCTGATTATCTTCTTTTCTTTCTTCTGATTATCTTCTTTTCTTTCTTATGATTATCTTCTTTTCTTTCTTCTGATAACCTTCTTTTCTTTCTTCTGATAACCTTCTTTTCTTTCTTCTGATTATCTTCTTTTCTTTCTTCTGATTAACTTCTTTTTCTTTCTTCTGATTATCTTCTTTTCTTTCTTCTGATAACCTTCTTTTCTTACTTCTGATTATCTTCTTTTCTTTCTTCTGATTATCTTCTTTTCTTTCTTCTGATATCTTCTTTTTTTTCTCCTGATTATCTTCTTTTCTTTTCTTCTGATAACCTTCTTTAAAAAACTCTATTTCTCACTGTCCGTTCAACTATCCCTCGATCTTCTTTTAATTTTCTCATTTCTTTCCAGTACTTTCTCCATCTTCACAAAACTTGCTTTTTGTTATTTTTGTTATTTTTGTTATTCTTCTTTTTTAACCTTTATATATATTTTTTTCTTTTGAACCGTTCTTCATTCAGTCTTGTTGGTCTTATACAAAAAGGAATTGATTCCTTGCCACAAACTCAAATTTTCAATTCCCTAATGGCGGAAATGTTTGATATTTCATACTTAGGCTATTTTATCTAACAGAATTTTAAGTTTTAGATATCTATAAGCTCTACAATTCAATGGGTTTAGGGATTAGAAAATCAGAATTTTTATTAAATCATATTCCTAATTTCCTCACCTTACGTTTTCATCCTTTTTCTGTGAGTTTTCTTCTGCATCTATCCATTCTCAACTTTCACTTATCAGTTTTCTAAAATAAGACAACATTAAAACATAATAATAATTTCTTTTGACATATTTTAGAAATATCTATTAGTTTAAAAACTTAATATCTTTTATCATATTCATTGACGTTTTTAATTTTTTTTAACTGATGGTTGCAGAACTTTAAATAAAATTTTTTAACTATTTTTTAACATAGTATATTTAGTGATATTTTATACGATGATTAATGTTCAATAGAAGCCAAGTTGTAATTCTTTTTTAAATTAGAAGAGTTTAAATTATGAAACGTCTTGATTGTCTTTAAACATGTTTTTTTCAGTCAAATTTTTAAATTTTCAAATTTTTTATTTCATAATTTGATTTGTCTGATTTGTGTCTGTTTTTTTATATATCGAAGAGAGTCAACCCGGACGGCCCAGACAGAAATATATTTATAAACTATTGTGGAATTAACAATAACATCTTCAGTCAACTTTCTGTGGAATCCCTATCTAAATATTTATATTATATAGATTACAATCTTGCTTGATTTTAAAACACATTTAAATTTAACACCTTTCTAAGTAAAAAAACATTTTTTATGAACTTTTCTCACTTTTGTTGTAAGATGAAAACTTGAACCTTGAGAAGTCGCATTAAATCTTAAAGGGACTGAACAAGAAATTTTAAGTGCCCGCCATTTGTAAAAAGGCATATTCTATTCACAGCATTAAATTTTAAATCTTTGTCTAGGCAACAATGTGAAATTCTGTGGAATTTCTTCGTTGTCTGCTTTATTATTCCGCAAGACATTTTTATCGAAAAATAACAATTTAAAAAATCTTTTTTTTAGCACGAACAACTAAAATATCTGATTCCTCCATGATTAGACACAGATCTAAAAGGTACCGTTGTGAATCAGATATTCCCCTCAATATATGGAGGGTTACTTCAAATTACGCCAGTTGTCCCTTCAAGGTTAGTTTTCTTCCTGAAAAGAATTCCCTGCGAACCAATGGCCTTCTCCTTATTGTCCTGTAACCCGCAGAATTTACTTGGAAGAACTATTCTGACTAGGTCCTAATTATATTTAGGAAATTCCTATAACAGCAAACAAGATTTAGGGAATGTAGGTCAAACAAACCAAGAAACTAAAGAAAGAAAGATAATTTTGAACGAAATAGATTCTTAGAATCACCTGCTTGTGCTCAGGGTACGGATTAATGTACCAGCAAACCCTTCCTACTCCGAATACGGACTAAACCCAGTGCTCCGGGTGAAGACTAAAACCCACTGCTCCGAGTACAGATTAAACCCAGTGTTTCGAGTAAAGACTACACCCAGGGCTCATGGTGCAGATTAATCACACTACTCCGAGTACAGATTAAACCCAATGATACAGGTACAGACTAAACCCACTACTCCGAATGCAGACTAAAACCAATTCTCTGAGTAATGTCTACAGACGAGACAAAATCTATATTTATATATATATTGTGGTTAATGTTCTGTTGGCCTCCTGACACTCTGTATGGAAAAATTGCGTGACTCTAAGCTCAGGTTCAACTCTGCAATGTACAATAATAAAAACTTAAAATCACTTACAAACTTTTCCTGCAGTTTTTCAAATTCAATGAATCCTATAAAAGTCTATTTATACTTAAAGGGATTGACCAGCAATGTATGGTAGTTGAACTGAGAATGTAGTATAGTGAAGATTTTTTTAGGACTCATTTGAGACATATAAAACGTTTTAATGATGTATAATTACTGAGTTTGAGCGCAAAGTCGACGTTCAAAATCATCCATTTGGGTAGTTACGTTTTGAGAATCGATTTTTTTAAAAATTATTAAATAACGACTACGAAAAATGTATCAAAAATTCTACAGTAAACTAATCAGTTTCTTAGGAACATATTTCTCAATAGAATTTTGTTAATAAATCAATGTTAGAAAGAATTATTTTTTTTTCATTATTATGTTGAATTTGTTTTTCTTTACGAATTTGGTAGCAGATTTCTACAAATTCGTCAAATGTTATCTTTTCAATAAAATTCCAGCAAATCTGCAGAAAATGTTTGTGAACAATGAGAGATTACATATGTTCCAAATAATATTAAGCAGTTGAAGAATGCAGTAAAGGCATATTTAATATTTTGTAATGCTTACTGTGTTCCTTTTTTATACTTAATTATTTATAAATTATTAATTGTTTACTTTGTAAATCTTTTATATATGAATGAAGAGAAAGGTACTGTTATGTATGCATGAAGAGAAAGGTACTTTTTTATATGCATGAAGAGAAAGGTACTTTTATATATGAATGAAGAGAAAGGTACTTTTATATATGAATGAAGAGAAAGGTACTGTTATGTATGCATGAAGAGAAAGGTACTTTTTATATGTATGAAGAGAAAGGTACTTTTATGTATGCATGAAAAGAAAGGTACTTTTATATATGAATGAAGAGAAGGGTACTTTTATGTATGCATGAAGAGAAAGGTACTTTTCTATATGAATGAAGAGAAAGGTACTTTTATGTATGCATGAGGAGAAAGGTACTTTTATGTATGCATGAGGAGAAAGGTACTTTTATATATGAATGAAGAGAAAGGTACTTTTATGTATGCATGAAGAGCAAGGCACTTACTTCCCCTTACTTCTTCCCCTCCCCCAAGCAAAAAGTTACAATTCTTCATGTTTTCTTTTAGTTTTTTTATCATTTTGTTTTTCCTCCCAATCCCTCCAACTTTTCATACTTAACCTAAAACTTTTTATATAACTATCATTCAGTTGTTTGTAAAACAACAATTATCTTAGTTATTCATTTTTACAGTTTGTGTACCTTTCTTTAGATCTAAATTCTCTAGGTTTCAGCTTTTACTGTCTAAACATCTAAAATATTTTCTGCTCCTTAGAAAAACTCGTTATGTTTGAAGCAAGTGTTGATTTTAGTCTAGAGTATTCTATAGAAAATCTATAAAACATTTTCCAGTTCTTTGTATTCATCATCAGACTCAAGAGGTATATATGAGCCCTGATATATCATAATATACGATTATATATACATAGCAATGTTCAGTCATCCTTAAAATGGTTTTATCTCTCAATATTCATCCATATAAACTACAATTCATTATTGGAACCTGATATTCCCCTCTTATAATCATCCCATTCCTCATTTTACTCATTCTTCCACTTCTCCCTCCAACATCCATCTTTATATTACTTCCTCTCCTCCCTTCATCCATCTTTATATCACTTCCCCTCCTCCCTTCTCCCTCCCTGTCTCCATGAGTAAGAGATCTATTCAATGATTTCTACAGAGGAATTGATTGCATTATTTTCTCAGTCATTTTCTGCCAAGTTTCCCTCCCTCCCCCCCTGTACTTAAAAGGACAATGTACGTTAATTTGAAGATACTCTCATTTTGCAAAGTGGCATGAACGATTTACAACGATATCCTTTATACTTTTATCTAATCAAGGATGAAAATCGTTGATAAAGGAATTGAGTTTTTGCCACAGGCTGCAATTGGGGCCGAGTGCTATGGCTAGGAAGGGCTAGGGCGCCGAGCGCTGAGGCTAAAATAATAGGCTAGGGGCCGAGCGCTGCGGCTAGGACATACTTGGGAAGTTGCCGCTTGGGAAATTGCACAATTTGGAAGCTTCCACTTGGGAAAATACCCTTGGGAAGTTGCTACTTGAGAATATAGCTAGGAAATAATCTATCTTTGTAAATCTTGGTTCAAAGCTTTATATTTATTCCTAATCTATGTTGTCATGTATGTATCCCCCAACCCCGGAGTACGGTTACTATTCATAATAATCTAGTATATGAGTACAGACTGAAAACAGAGACCCTGCTCAGTTTGCCAAATTGGTTCAGATTAACATAATATTCTCCGTACATACAATTCATCTGCGATAGTTTTGCATTTTTAGCTCATTATACTTAGTTTTCATATACTCAACGTTAGGAGGTTAAACTTGAGCTGGAAACTTTTAAATGAACGGATTAGGTTAAACTCATTTTCTCCTTGGGAGGTCATATGAGAAGTTTTCTATTTCAGAGAATATGAGAATAACTATACATTCATTTAAGCATTCCAGCTTGTGATTTGTTTTAAAGATATTTTATTTTATCTATTGTTTTTATACTCGGATAAATCAGAACCTAAATGATATATCTAGATAGGAGTTCAAATAGAGCAGAATACACATTTACAATCCGGTTCATTACACAACACAAGATATTCAGATCATTTGAGGAATATCTTGGTTCCTCTTTCATATCTTTAGGGATATCTTAGTTCCTCTATCTTATTTCGAGGAATATCTTTTTTTCCCAAGTATATCTTGGTTCCTCTTCTTTTCTCCAGGGATATATTATAGTTCCTCTTTCACATCTTTAGGGATATCTTAGTTTCTATTTAAAGCTATAGGGATATCTTAGTGTCCCTTTAATATATTTAGGGATATCTTAGTTCCTCTATCTTATTTCGAGGGATATGTGATTTTTTTTCTCCGAGTATATCTTGGTTCCTCTTATTTTCTCCAGGCAAATCTTTGTTCCTCTTTGATATCTTTAGGATATCTTAGTTCCTCTTTCATATCTCCAGGGATATATTAGTTCCTCTTTAATATCTTTAGGATATCTTAGTTCCTCTTTCTGATCTCCAGAGATATGTTAGTTTCTCTTTAATATCTTTAGGGATATCTTAGTTTCTATTTAATACATTTTGGGAAATCTTAGTTGCTCATTAATATCTTTTGGGATATCTTAGTTGCTCTTTAATAGCTTTAGGGATATTTTAGTTTCAATTTAATATCTTAAGAGATCGCTAAGTAAACCTTTTATATAACAGGGAAATCTCAGTTCCTATATTATATGTTAAGGAGGTGTATCTTACCTAGTTAGATCTACCATATTTCTGTTCCCCTGGTAGTTGATAAGTATATTCTATCATCTGATTAAACTTTCATCTTTCTTCTCTTAATTAGTTCAAATCAAACCAACAAATCTCTCTATTCTTGTTTGAATTAACCTC